TTGTGTTTGATTCCATGTATTCAAAAAATGTATGTTTCCAAGAGTGTGTATGTATATAGATATGTACATAATGCAATACAATATTTAAAAAATAAGTAGACTAAGGCTAAATTATGTTGTCACAAATAGACATGGGTTGCATGTTTTGCTCTATGGAAGTTACTTTTGCGATGATCTCAACCAAAAGGAATTTATATACCAGTTACAACTATCTCTGTTATTTTTGTAAGATTTTACACCTTGGGACTGTATCTCTTTGTAATGACTGGTGAAATTGTTTTTTATTAAATGAAAATTAAAAATATTTACTTTCTGTTTTCAAGCGAGTTGGGTGTTGTAACTTGGTGGGATTACAAAATATAAACATGTATGATCTTGTCATGTGTGTTTATATCTTGGTATAGAGCACCCATGTTTTTATGGTAATTCACCAAAAATTTAGTCTGTTTCCTTATGCTCTATTAATGTTTTACCATTCCAGTTTAATTATAACATTAGTTGAGATGTGTAGTATAGAGCTCCCTGGAATATATTAGTCATAAGGTTACAAAGCTGTGTATGATGTGTACATACAGGTGTAAAGCTAATGGACACAAGAGTCGTGGATATTGTATGCATTTTCCAAGTCAGGAACTTAGAAGTTTAGCTGTTTTGTATAGGAATGATAAAAAAAAAAAGAAAAAAATGAGAGATAAGCAGTTTCAGATGACTGCATTCATTTAATTGGCCAACTCTAAACCTCATGGCAGCCGTCCATTTGGAGTGTGTCAGATTTCCTGGCATTCTAGACTGGTTTTAAGGAAAGTATCTAAGGATTTTGACCTGGTGGCATGTTTATCTCATGTTGCATGAGCAAGAAATATTACAGTGCACAGGTTTTCCGTTTCTGATTTTTTTTATTTTGCAGTAATATATTTTTATTATAATGTTCTTACTATTACTGGTATTATTATTTCTTTGAATTTTATGTTTTGTTGTTATTATTGTTTCTCTTCATTATTATTTTTATTATTATTATTGTCTTATTATTATTGTCTTATTATTATTGTCTTATTTTTTTCTTCTTCTTCTTCTTCTTCTTCTTCTTCTTCTTCTTCTTCTTCTTCTTCTTCTTCTTCTTCTTCTTCTTCTTCTTCTTCTTCTTCAAATTGCTATAACTATTATTACTCTTATTCCTCTTGTTATAGTTACATCAGTCATTGTTATTATTATTATTTTTTTACTTTCTTTTATTTTTTACTTGAATTGAGCAAGTGAGCATTGTAGTAGAATTGTACTCTGATTCCCTTTCTGGTAAATAACAAAAACATTTATTAAATGCAGTAATTTGGGTAATATGAATTCTTTGTCTCAGTGTATAAGGACATAAGTACCTCCATTTTATTTCTCATTCTTTCTGCCAAAACGAAAAAAAAGGGAATATATATTTTAGTAGGAATAATGCCTGTGCAAAGCCAGAGCATGCTTTGTTGTGGTGATACTTATTGATGTCATGACCTTTGTTTATTAATTACTGAATTAAATAAAGGAAAACAACAGTTTATGTAAATTATCATTGACCCCTTTTGTATCTGGTAGTGAAGTAGTTACAGTTCTGGAGAAGGAAATAGAAGAATAAGCAAAAGAGCAAATGGATGTATGAATGTTGCCAACTATGGTCGATAAGGAGTACTGAGTAGATGTAATACATTATTTTGAAATACAAAATATAATATTTTAAAGTCAAGAGATGCCAAGCCACTACAGTTCAATCAGTCAGTGCTGGGGCTAACACCTAAGGGGGTACCTAGCCGGATCCACTCTTTGTTTCCATCCACAAGGGTCCTATTTGACAAGCCACCATGCTGGTCCTTTGCCCTGTATTCATTCCTCACGTCATATTTGATCGATCTATCCTAGGTCTTCCCAGGGGCCTTGTCCACCCAGGGATGTCTAGAGAAGGTAACTTGCCAAGCGGGTGGGATCGTCCAACGGTGTTCTCACGGTGGAATCGTTATTCGACGCTGTCCTGCTTGCTGCCTTCATGATACGGATCAAGGGCGTGTTGCGAAATGCATCAAAACGTGACTCCGAAACAAGGGACTGAGTCCAGATTTTGTTAAAAAATAAGGCAGTATCTGGGCCTGGGAGAACGCAACGTGTCCCTTCTCCCCATGTACCCGCACCTTGAACGAGTCCATGGAGTCTGCTGCCAGGCCAATTGGGCTACTGACTTCTGGTCTGCCAGGGTGTATTTCATGCACTTAGGCCCGAAGATCTTCGGCGTGGAGTTAGCTTTCCTGTCGGCGTGGCGGCGTGGATTTAGCCTAAATTATATTCCTTGACGTAATGAAATGGAAAAAAATCTCGGCACTTAAACTTAGTCGTTTGTTTTATTCCTTTACAACGCACGCCCCTCCCCCCCTCTACACTCCTTGCGGCTGTTTTTTATCACTTCCATAGTTTTTTTTTTTTTTTTTTTTTTTTTTTTTTTTTTTTTAAGTGCTGTCTTGGAGTTTTT